GTAGGTGTTCATTGGCATCCATGATATCTTATTGGTAAGAAATGATTTTGTTTTATTATGATATTTAAAAGAATATTTCTTAAAAGCTCGTTTGAGTAACTTCTGTAAACGCTAGGTCAAATCTAAATCTTGATTTATTATGAATTTCAGTCCTCTTTTAATATCACGTATGTATACTTCTTAAATGTATTGATGGACCTGAATCAATTAAATGTTTTCAAATTGATTAGTGTTGTGTATTTACGGTTGTATTCAATTAAAAATTATATAAGCAAAGTTCATAATGTTCTGTTCATCTAAAAAGCTATAATGCCCTTAATTTTAAAAAAGTATGAAAACTTTGTCTAGGAACATAAAAAGAACCTATGAAAACTTCATAAAATTGCATCATTTCAAAAACGATGCAATTTTATGAATTTTCTCCAAAATTAACAGATTTAGGTCAAGACAAAAGCTTTCTGCGAACTTGCTGCTTGTACACAGGAATGTGCAAAAACCATAAGGAAATTGTTTCTTTGCTGCAAGTTAGCAGCAATGTTTTTGCCGCACGCTTGCAGTAACATGTTTGCGGCAGGCTTTTTTTAACGAGCAAGGTTTCCATATTTGGAAAACTTTTCCAGGCTGTTTGCCTGCAGAAAACGCAGAACCGGCGCTATTGTAAAAACTGGATGCTTCGCTTTTGACCGGCATTCTCGGGTTGATTTTCGATTCTTGCGAAGCGTCGCAATTAATTAATTGCACAATCCTTTTAGAACTCATTATTATCTCTGCGATTATCGTTTTATGGTTCGTTTATAAAATACATAATCCATTGTAAACATTTTGGCTTTTTTCTTTTCATCATATTGGCGAGTACTGTCATTGCTTTAGTTGTGAGTTCGGCATTAAATTCGCTTCATTGCCGCAAGCATGGCAAAATTCCAATGTCTGGCTTGCTTTTGACGTTGCACGTAAAATATCAAAATCGTTTGCTGGGAAACGTCTGCAGCAAATATTGCTGGAGGATTCAGGTAAAACAAACTTTTCTGGTGTAACCATAAAAACAACGTTGGTGAGGTGACCTGAGGTCATCTTTAAAATGTTTGAACGACGCCAATGTAAAATAATTCAGTCGTGGTAGGTGGGAATTTTTTCCCCAGCAAATTTAAACATATTTGTTAGCGAAATATGAGGAATAAAAACAAGAGGCCCAAGGGCCTTGAGAAAAATTGTACAATCTATCACTTCTATTTGAAGCCTCTAACTTTCCTAAGACCCAAGTTGCATCAACTGCGATTTTGGTATTTTTACCAATTAGCTGAAGATATTTTTGAAATAAAGCTATAAAAAACAGAACCGGCGCTACTTTAAGATTGAAGTTTCTGAAACTGGATGCATTAATAGCTTTTCTAAGCCAATAAGAATTTGCATTCTAGGTCACTGTGACCTTGATTTTCCCAAGATACTTGACAAAGTTTGATGATTCTAAGCAATTTATTAATTGCACCATGATACTTTTAGAACTCATTATTATCTCTGCGATTATCGTTATATGGTTCGTTTATAAAATACATAATCCATTGTAAACATTTTATCACACTGTCCAGATTTCATTTCAAGCATTTTAAAATTTAAAATCCGAATTTGGTGTGATATTTTCTTTTCATCGATATTGGCGAGTACTAGTAGAAGCATTGCCATAGATTAAGTGTGAGTTCGGCATTGAATTCGATTCGAAAGTATTGAAAATAATCCCGATTGGAGATGGCAAAATTCCCAATTTTCGTAATGGCGTTGCTTTTGACGTTTTCTTGGCACGTAAAATATCAAAATCGTAAAGATGTCATCGGAAACGTCTTTTTTGGACTAGATCTCTGCTGACCAAGTTTTGATCCTGGGTTCAAAAATTTTTAATCACGAAATGAAAACAAACTCCAACAGTCTGTGTAACCATAAAAACGATGTTGGTGAGGTGAGCTGAGGTCATCTTTAAAATGTTTGATCGGTTTGATCGCCTTCTCACGACTCAATGTAAAATAATTCAGTCAGTAGGTAGGTGGGAATTTTTTCCCCAGCAAATTTAAACATATTTGTTAACGAAATATGAGGAATAAAAAAAAAAAAGTATCCTGTAATGTAAAAACAATTTTTGAGTCGGGCCATTTTTAGCCATATGGTCGGGGGAGGGAAACCAAATAATTTTTTTAAAACATGGCTTGAGTCCATGAAGCTCATTTTCGTAGGTTAAAAAATATATAATTTTCGCGTTATAAAAAGATGCGAAACTTTTACGCGAAAGTCCAAAGGCGTAGGTTAAAAAAAAAATAAATTTTTCACGTTATAACGCGAAACTTTCGCGATAAAGGCGTAACTTTCGCGTTATAACGCGAAACTTTCGTGAATTAACGCGTAACTTTCGCGTTATAACGCGAAAATTACGCGTTAATAAACGCTTAACTTTCGCGTTATAACGCGAAACTTTCGAGAATAAACGCGTAACTTATGCGTTATAACGCTGTTGCTGTTTAACCAGATATTTGCTTTAGTCTCAACTTTCTTTTTGATTTTGACATCAAGTTTATTTTTTACAATGATAAGCAAAAGGTATTTTGATCTTGGACTATCACAAGATAAAATTTTAAGCTTTCTTGCTATTGAATCCATCTTTACTGTCACAATTTGTCTTTCTCAACGCTGTTAAAACAATTCAAAGTTTATGCCAGTTTTCCAAAATTTAACTTCAAGATTATTAATTTCTGGGAAAATCACCCCTTTCCGGCGTCTTTTATATGCACTCTCTAGATAATTTGAAATAATTTTATTTTTTAGAGATCAAGATCTCAGAAAATTGACAAAATGAGGTAAATTTGTCAATTGTGTCCCACCTCATTTGTGAAAATTGAATAGCAGATTTTCATTTCTCTCCGTTGCATTGGATTCACTGTGGAAATACGATTTCCTATTTTGTGGTTGCACCACGTTGTAATTCCATTGCTTACGAAAACACTGACAATTCAAAGTGTACAAACTCTGCTGTATACCTTCATAGTTTTTATTTATGGCTAGTCCACGAACTTCTCTGTAACCCATTATATAAATACTCGGTATTGGTGAAAATTTAGAGACCCCTCCTCCTCAATAAATTTGTAATTAACAATATCCAATTACTAGTATAATTGTTATTTAAACAGCATCATATGGCCCGTTAAGCTCATGAAATTATACATTGTTCATTCACTTTTAAGTTAATGTTTCTACAGTATAGTGTATAATTTTTTTTGTCCAAAATGATTGATTGCTTAATTTACTAGTTGTACAGTGTTAGTAAATGTTACTGATTAAAAAACAGCTTGAAAAAAGTGTCAAGTGGAGATTTCCTTAAAAAATAATGTCTAAAGAATTTAACAATTCAAAAACGTCTACAAGAAAGTAAAATTCATTTTATTAATTCAATGGTAAGGTTTTAAAATAAAAACTAGAAGCACTGTGAGCATTGAGCTCACTAAATGATACCCCCGCCTCCCATATGGTCATAACTGATGACAAAGTCCATGCTTTGCTGTGGCCGGGAAACTCAAAATATGTGTCGGATCATAAAGTAAAATAAGAGGTGCACAATGGCAATATGTAATAAAGATTCTGTGAAAGTTTCATTAAATTTCACTCAGTGGTATAAGAGGAGTTGCGGATAAGAGATGGGTACCATAAAGAGTAACAGACGGACCGACGGACGTAAAGACATACCGATTACAGTATACCCTCCCACTTTTCAAGCGGGGGGTATAAAAATATTCTGATGACTAATCTATCCTATTCTCGTATCATTTCTCCAGTACATCTTCTGAGGAAATTATATTTATACCCCCCGCTTGAAAAGTGGGAGGGTATACTGTAATCGGTATGCCCGTCCGTCCGCCTGTCTAGCTGTCCGTCCGTGCGTCTGTCCGTTACACTTTGGGGTACCCATCTCTTATCTGCAACTCCTCTTACACCAGTGAGTGAAACTTAATGAAACTTTCACAGAATCTTTATTACATATTGCCATTGTGCACCTTCTATTTCACTTTTTGATCCTATACATATTTTGGGTTTCCCGGCCAAAGCAAAACATGGACTTTGCCATTATAACTATATGGGAGGCGGGGGGGGGGGGGGGGTATCATTTAGTGAGCTCATCGCTCACAGTACCTCTAGTTTATAAATAAGTTTCTGAGAGTTCCCGTCTGTGTCTATGTTCTTATCTGTCAGTCAGCATATTATTTCGCGAAACAACGCGAAAGTTACGCGTTTATTCGCGAAAAATATATATATATTATTGTTTTATTAATAAGCTTTGAGTTAGACATTTAATTTGGTTCGCAAGTATTGAAAAACAACCCTGTGAATGCCAGTTGGAGGCGACGAACTTCCATTTTCCGTAAAATCCACCTGTGACGTCATTCTTTTGTTTGAGCGCTCCATTACTTATAAGGAATGGAGAGCTTACACGGAATTTGTTATGGCTTTCGTATTTTATTTATTATTGTTTTATTGATAAGTTTTGAGTGTTGAGAGCATTTAATTAACTTCAGTACACTTTTTTTTAGTTTTCTTTCTATATTATATATAAATAATACCAATATGTAAAAAGTATTTACAATGTATCATATAAAAATTCTTTATTGTGTATTAACAAACAATAAAAACAAGCATTCCAGTTGGAGGCGATTCCTTAAAAGTAACTTCCATTTTCCGCTACTCGTACATTAACCCTTACATAATGGCGCCCATTCTGACGATTTCCTGGTACGTAAATTATTGCAATCTAAAAATAAGACAGAAAACCTCAGATATTTAGGTCTAGTTAAGAAGCTGCTTTTGACGCACATTGTATCAAATGGACCTATTTCTAAGGTCTGTAGAATTCGAACCAAATTTGTTTCTAGTGAATGCTTATATTTTTAAACAAGTTGAATTTAGAAAACTTATTTTCTTTCTACATAGTCATGTACTTTTCAAATGGATTTTTTTTAAATCGTAAATTAAATATAAGTTTTATATTTATTTTGACCATTGTAAAATAGCTGCATCAGTTCTGCTTTGTCACTAAAGCAAAATGAAAGCATTCCTTATTTAAGTAAGCACATATCTTCTCCACCTCAACATCTCCAGCTCTCACTATGTCTGTTAATGTTTTCATGAAAGCATAGCGAGTCAGTCCGTATCGACAAGTGCTTTTATGTTTGATATCTGATGACAAGACAAAGCAAACAAAGGCCCCAGTCACACTATCTGGAGCACTGTTTGAGTAGAACTGAGCATGCTGAAGGCCAAAGTGTGCCGCTTCTTTATCAACTTTAATGACATGTGAAAAGAATTCTGGGTAGGCTGAAATCCAGTATTTGTTTGGTGTTGATCTTTCACGTCCGCCATTTTCAAGTACAACAGTCAGAAGTTTGGATACACCTACTTGGCACACAGATGGATTAACAACCTTGTTACCATACACTATAGAATCGGTGAGGCATTTAACTGCACAGTTATAGGGTGTTAAGAATAAAAACTTTTGAGAAAGCTTTGAATTTGTCTTTTCCTTGAACACTATGACACAGTGGAAATACGTTTTGACCTTACATGTTGACAAAGCATGAATCTGGTACTTAGAAAAAAAATGCTCAACATCCTTTTCCACTGTGTTACGGGCTACTAAACTCCTGTCGTCTACGTGGTATTTCCTGATACACCAAGCCTGATTTGTTCTGTGTTGGTTCCAAACTATGTTAACAAATAACTGTCCATTGTTGCTGATAAGATCAATGTGCTGAATAAAGTATCCGGCGCTTTTTAAATTCATGTAATGCCTGTCAAGCAATTCATACGGAAGAAGCACTTCAAACACCTGATTTGTGTTTGAAGAATAAATTCCATAATACTGCACTTCCATACTCCAAAAAGACAGCTGCTTGAACAACAGTGTGGAATAGGAGGAAAACCTAGGTGACATGCTTAAAGCATGTCTCATCATTGTATCAAGCTCTAAATCTAGATGATCCCATCCAGACTCTCCTTCATTGAACAAAGCAATCCATGTAAATCCAGAATGATGCCGACAGGCTAAGGAGTGGGTACCTTTAGGGGTGGTTCCTAAGTGTCCCCAGGTCTCCCCATCATCTGAAACACTGAGGCCAAGGCCAAGCCATTCAGAACCATTTTCAAACCAAGGTCGTTCAAGCATTTTCTTCACCATTTCCCGAGACAAAACTCCGGAGCCTCTGTAAAAAAGAGAAATTTAAAATAAATTTGGAAATTTAAAGTGTTCTCACATGTTCCACTGCCTCGAAAATTTTGATGTCCCTGTCATAGGACTCATACAAAACAAAGGTACCTGTTGTTTGCACTTTACAACTTCCATAGTAAAATTTAGGCAAAAACATCATATATTTGTCTTAATTAATGTAAATATAACTAATTAACAATATTTGTTAGTTATCATTTAGTAATTTCAGTTAAGTGTGAAGTTTTGCATTATGTCACGAACTTTTCAGACAGATGCATCCAGCGTAAACAATTTAGCCGCCGCTGTGTGATTGATCAACTCAGATTATCAACATTGACACAGAAATAGTCTGTTGCACGAGCAACCAATCAGGGATTAGAAGAAACTTCCAGTCGTAAAGCTTGTGGTTAGGAGGCATGTACTATTTACCTTGAGTGCATCTGTCAGCATAGGTTGTGACATAATGCAAAACTTTACACTTAACTGAAATTACTAATAAATATTTACTTACGTATGTAAAGAGAGTTCAATGGATGAGAAAATTCTGAACAATTGCTCTGCTGAAGCAATTAAGCCACAATATGTTGAAGTCTGTCGTATATCTTGAATATTTCCATGATAGATCCTATTGAACTTGCAATGACCATGTAGATATGGGGTCGATTCTGCGTCTTCATTTGAAACAGAACTCACCTAAAATTTAACCATATACATGAAATCGTGTCTTTTTAAACATTTTTCTCAACCTTGATGCAGATAAAGAAATATGTGATATGTTACATAATGTACATTTTTGGCAAAAATGATCATAAGACCAGAATTCAACCGCCTTATCGCTTACTATAATCAAAGAGTTATTCTTACATTAATCAAAGGAATTTTCTTACTGTATCAAAGACATAGGTTATCATTAAAACAAACAAATGTACATGTATTTAATGAATATTCTTATTATACAAGAGTATCAGATTTTCTTACTGTATTTTTAAAATTTTAATATTGTACCAAAGTAAATTTCGTCCTGTGTTGTTTAAAGGGATTTACCAATTTATCCAAGATCTTGTATAAACTGTATTAAAAGGAATTGTACTACTGTATTTTAATTTTAAAAAATTATTTTGGTTTTTAATAGGGATTCATTCATACTTAATGATTTTTCCTTATTGAATATACATGTAGGGTAGGAGGAGGGGTGTTATAGGATTTTCTTACATAATCAAAGAGATTTTCCAGACAGATTTCATCATTGCCAAGTTCACTGCAGCTGTCTATATTACTAAGGTACCCCACTCCCAGACTCTGCAACATGTCCCTGATGAAGTTGTGATAGGGAATCCCTGTGACCTCCTCTACCACCATTCCCAGAAGAAAGTATCCAAGATGGCAGTAAACCTGTTTTTTTCCTGAAGAATGCAATCAATATATTTATGTAATATCTTATTCATTCCAAAGAAAAATTGTCATCAGTTGTAAGTATTGATGTATATAATACTTAAATAACATTAAATAAATACCGATATGTTCTTCTGGACCAATTTCAATGACCAAAGATTTTGATAATTGAACTGACCCAAATGAATTTGGTACAAGGTCACACACAAATTCACAAAATACAAGTTATAAGCAATCTTCGTTTTTAAGCAGGAGCTTCCAATGTTTCCTTAATAGTACACAAACTGTACTTTTTACTTAAAATGGTCTTCAACTTGACTAGATGACCTTGCATCAAGTATCTCACAATTATCAATATCATATTTAGTACTCTTTTTAAGGAGAAAAAAATATGAGATAACAAACAGTAATTAGTCAGTATTCAAATTAATGATACATGTTATTTGAATTTGCTGATAAGGTCATTGTATTGATCTTATAACTTTTGAAATATAATATTGACTATTAATGAGACTGTTGATAACCTTGTTTCATCAACTTGTTTTTCAAATGTCAATAGCATATTTCAACTTGGAAATTGTTGTTCCTACATATCCAAGCATGTTCCTGCACATCAAATATCTCTTCATTAAAAGTTATGCATTGAATATGACTTTATTTTTCTGTCAGTGACCTTTGACTTGCCTTTATGATCTTTGTTTAAAGTTTAAATACACTACATGTCTACAGCAATCTTTGTATCAAGTTCAAAATTCTGTTTCCCCTTTAAATTTTCAAAATTATGGCAATTGCAAAGAGAAACAGAAAGACAGAGAGACAAGGAGATTTCTATATAATTAATTCCCTACAGAAAAATTTGTATGAAAATACAGTGAATATTACCAGGTGGATAGTCAGGTGCCTTTATCAAAATCTGTCTCATTATCATTTCTTTTCTGTCCGATGACTTGACATTTGCCAGAGTCTTTTTGTCGAGAACCAGTTTTCTGGTCTCTATGATGTCATTTCCTTGTGCTGGGTCCCAGCCCCCTGAATGCTGTAGAAGATGTTCCACTCTTCTGGTCTCTATCATGTGTCTCCTCCTCCCTTTGTAGTGGTTCCTCAGAAGACCTAAAACATAAAGCTCATTGACAACATTGTATCATATATTACAGCTGCAAAACTGTATTGTTCTGGTTTTATATTTTAGTTTTTTACCTTAACATGCTTAATGCTACAGATCCTGTAATGAAAATAATGTTCAATTTACGCCTTAAGATTTTATGTGCATGATTGGTGTGAATTTCTCCACTTTCCAGCATTGAGCAATATACTGTATAGGGGATTAATTTCACGGGTTGTAATTTTCATGTTTTTCTCACATCTGACATGATCGCGGTTTCTTGAATTCGCGGAATAGGTATATGATAAAAGTTACCTCCCTTGTCTATATCCGTTTAATCCATACTATACATGTAAACGACTTTAATCAACATCATGTCTTTATTTCACGAACAACAGGGTAGGTTAATATAAAATTGTTATATTTAATAAATAATTAATTAACACAAGTGCAGTTATTAAAAGTTCTTCACTCTAAACATCAAATGACTTTCCTATATGCTATTACGATGAGTGCATGTGCACCCAAAATCTTCAATACAACGCGACGAAAAAACCACTGGACGGAAATAAATTTGTTTATGTACATGTAATTCTACGAAATAATATCCTTCCACATCTTCAGTAAGTTAAGTTCGATATATTTATTAGAATGATTTTTTTAAACCAAAATGTCGATAAAAACTACATGAACTAATATGCATGATAAGGCAGGTAACAAATACACGTGGTAACATTAGTTAGGCACGGGTAATCAAAACCGATGGCCCACGTGTTTTGATTGATTAAACATGTAGCGTTGGCTTTTAAAACAGCTTTTGAACAAGCACAAGTTATTATCTGCTGATTTGAGTTAAAGCGTGATAATTAAAATAATAGTAATTACTGAAATGATCATGTACTGCATGTACACCTATATAAATCTATCGTAGTCTATTCTCAAATTTTCAAATGAAACATAGAGATTATTGAAAAGAACTATATGCGGTATTAACCAACATTTGCCCCCCAAAATCAAACTTTGATGGAGTAATATTTAATTAAGTCCTTAAACAGGGGAGTATATGCTGACTTCAAAGCACTGAATAATTTCATAAGTAATGACGTCATATGTACGTAATGACGTCACAAATATGACGTAAATTTCAGTTTTTTATGAATTTTGCAGAAAAATGTACATATTTCGTCGATATTTTAAATAAAAGTCACCAAGCGCATGTGTGTTCAGGATAAATATTTTGATATAATGTGTAGAATGATAATATCAATGAAATATGTCAATATTGTTCCTGAACACACATGCGCTCTATAAATTTTAAAGCTTAAATTGTTGAAATTTTGTCCATTTTGTCCTCTTTCTGAAAAAGGATATAAAATCGGACTAGTTTGTGACGTCATAAAAACAGAAATTGTGAATACACTGCTCTGGAACTATAATATTTTCTGTTAACTTATATTTCTCGTACAATTTATTGAATTCAGCACATTTCAGGAAGTTTTCAAAATTTGACTTTTGTGGGGGCAAACATATGCAATATACCGCATATAGTTCTTTATTCACTGTTTCTTGAATTTACGGATTTATTAACGCCGTGAATATAGCGAATATTAACACCGCGAGTTATTTTCCCCCTATACAGTATTTTATTGACAAGAACATATTATTGAGTAATACTGCTTCAGATTTCCCAGGGAAAAGTTAGCCTTCAATAATGCCATGACGATGTTATGTAAAACAGAATTTTACTGATTTAGAGAGATCAATTATGGAACCTGTTAAAGAGATATAAGTCTGTGTGTTCCAGTATGACTGTTACCTGATGTTCTGATGAAGAATCTTCCTGATGCTGTATCTGAAACAAATGATTAATAAATACTAAAAACAAGGTAAAAAGAACTCTTTCAAGTAAATAAATAACCAGAAGTCTCTGTCGAGACTGAAGCTCTACTGGTTTGTACTTATAGCAAAAGAAGAGAAAAGTACTTAGGCAGTTGGGAATTGAAACTTTTCAACAGCAATTTATAGAAAAATGATCCTTGATTTAGTCTCTTTATGTTTTAGTGTAGTCTACTTGCATGCCACATTACATTATAATCAGACTAAAACTGTATTTGGAGTAGCATTTTGAGTGTATTAAACAGAAATTTCTATTTTTAGTAACCACGGCAACACCGTTCATCCAAATCAAAAACCGATACACAGAATTATGTATCTTAGTGTAGTCTACTTGTGTGCCAAGTTATATTGAAATCAGACCAAAACTGTAGGAGGAGTAGCATTTTGAAAGAATTTCACAGAAATTTCTATTTTTAGTAACCACGGCAACACCGTTCATCCAAATCAAAAACCGATACACAGAATTATGTATCTTAGTGTAGTCTACTTGTGTGCCAAGTTATATTGAAATCAGACCAAAACTGTAGGAGGAGTAGCATTTTGAAAGAATTTCACAGAAATTTCTATTTTTAGAAGCACGTCAACACAGTTCATCGAAATCAAAAACTGATAAATAGATTTATGTACCTTAGTGTGTTCTACTTGTGTGCCAAGTTATATTGAAATCAGACCAAAACTGTAGGAGGAGTAGCATTTTTAAAGAATTTCACAGAAATTTCTATTTTTAGTAACCACGGCAACACCGTTCATCCAAATCGAAAACCGATATACAGAATTATGTATCTTAGTGTAATCTAGTGTGTGCCAAGTTATATTGAAATCAGACCAAAACTGTAGGAGGAGTAGCATTTTGAAAGAATTTCACAGAAATTTCTATTTTTAGTAACCACGGCAACACCGTTCATCCAAATCAAAAACCGATACAGAATTATGTATCTTAGTGTAGTCTACTTGTGTGCCAAGTTAAATTGAAATCAGACCAAAACTGAAGGAGGAGTAGGATTTTGAAAGAATTTCACAGAAATTTCTATTTTTAGTAACCACGCAACACCGTTCATCCAAATCAAAAACCGATACAAAGAATTATGTATCTTAGTGTAGTCTACTTGTGTGCCAAGTTATATTGAAATCAGACCAAAACTGTAGGAGAAGTAGCATTTTGAAAGAATTTCACAGAAATTTCTATTTTTAGTAACCACGACAACACCGTTCAACCAAATCAAAAACCGATAAACAGAATTATGTATCTTAGTGTAGTCTACTTGTGTGCCAAGTTATATTGAAATCAGACCAAAACTGTAGGAGAAGTAGCATTTTGAAAGAATTTCACAGAAATTTCTATTTTTAGTAACCACGGCAACACCGTTCATCCAAATCGAAAACCGATACACAGAATTATGTATCTTAGTGTAGTCTACTTGTGTGCCAAGTTATATTGAAATCAGACCAAAACTGTAGGAGAAGTAGCATTTTTAAAGAATTTCACAGAAATTTCTATTTTTAGTAACCAAGGCAACACCGTTCATCCAAATCAAAAACCGATATATATAGGATCTCCCATGGTTTGTAGTTTGATATGATTTTTATCCAACGAGTTGTGTGTTTTCTATCCCCGAGCCTTGGCGAGGGGATAGAAAACACACAACGAGTTGGATAAAAATCATATCAAACCACAAACCATGGGAGATTCTTTTTATCACATATCTTTGTTCACTATAAATGTGTACTTTGTCTTTATTTCTAATTCAAAGTTCCCTTTCGGTTACCTCGGACCAAATAACGTAATAAATAATATTACGCTGTATGAAATATTTCGTACAAAAATAAAAGAAAGAAAGTATTTCTGCACTTATTTTTTTTTATTCCTGAATGAAGATTTGTTAAATTATATCAAATAATGTGAAATTTGACAAATTAAGTCATTCTCTCCATCATGCACATGTATTTGTTTATTTACATTACGTCACGTGGCGTAAGAATACATAGTGTTGATACGAAAACGATATCACATGAGCTATATCAACGGGATAAAGGGGAAAATATGTGATAAAAAGAATTATGTATCTTAGTGTAGTCTACTTGTGTGCCAAGTTATATTGCAATCAGACCAAAACTGTAGGAGAAGTAGCATTTTGAAAGAATTTCACAGAAATTTCTATTTTTAGTAACCACGGCAACACCGTTCATCCAAATCAAAAACCGATACACAGAATTATGTATCTTAGTGTAGTCTACTTGTGTGCCAAGTTATATTGAAATCAGACCAAAACTGTAGGAGGAGTAGCATTTTGAAAAATTGTTTACAGACGGACAGACAGACAGACAGACAGACGGACGGACGACTTACGCATTACTATCGCATAAGCTCTTCTGGTCTCTGACCAGTAGAGCTAAAAACCAGATCCTCGAACTGCTCCTTTATTTTTTTATTGTCACTAACTCATGTAGTGACAATAAAACAATAGAGGAGCAGATCAGGGTCCTGATTTAAATCAGACTACTGTAAACATATTATATTTGGCTGTGTATTCTTTTTAGCGACTTTGGCGGAGAGAAATGTCCGCTAATTCAAGTACAATGCTAAATGTCTTGCGCATATACAAATAAATAAGAACATTAAGAAGTGCGCTAAATCAAATCCATGCTAACTTGCTCAAATGTTGATTTCCGCCAAATATCATACATGCTAAATATAATTCATTTACAGTATCAGCTTAATTAATGGTCCCAATCAAAGCATGTCTATTAACACTGGGGAGCAAAGATTACTGTGAAATTACTTATTTAATATACCATTGGCCAGGGGTTTAATTTTCATTGTTTTCAAGGTATGAAAAGACCCACAGATTTATGTCCACCACAAAGTGTAATTTTTCATATGTGAATGTACAGAATTACTACTCAGTTTTCATCCTTGAAATCAAATCTCTATGAACGGAACCCATATTTTCTCCTGATACCTTGAAAATTTGACCCGATAAAAGCATGTGATTTTGCAGCAGAATATGTAAATGTAGATCAGATCCAGTTTCTTAAGAGGTTGATAGTGTGCACTCCTACAGATATAGTCTATGCAACCACATTGTTTGAATGCTTGAATTTTTATTAAATTGAATTATACAGTACAGATTACAATGCTTTGTGTTATAAAATACCATATAAATTGAATTTTTATGATAAACTAAAGGATTGATTTTAAAATGTTTATGAAGTTTCAAGCAAATGTTCTTATAGTTACCTTTGGTTTCATCTCCAAAAACTTCATCTGTAAGTTCTAGGTATCCCAGGTCCACTAGCTTTAAAACAGCCATGGCGGTAATGACTTTAGATATGTCGCCAATCCTGAACTTTGATGAAGACGTAGCATAAACTCCAGGTGCTGCCTCACCATAACCTGTTACAATGAAGCCATACATGGGAATTTTCTTCGTTTAATGTTTGAGCTGTTGTTATATAAACCATTACCAAGCAGTGCTCTCTAACATCATGAACATCATATCAAAAAGTCTGTTGGCATTGTTTCTGTTTCATTATAAGAATTCATTTTTCTGGCCAAACTTCTCAGAAATCTTAACCTTATGGCAATTATCAAATCAACATAAATTTGATTTTTTGTAAAAACATGATAAATGAATGTCATATACTTACAGAATAACATTTTTTTCTTTTTTGATTTATTATTCGAGTATAAAACTTCAGATAACAGAATCACAGCATGGGCTAAAATGCTCACCTGAGTACCCTTCCCAAAGAGGGAAAAGAAATTATGAAAAAAAAATTCCCAATTCTTTCCATGACAAAATTTTTCCGTTATCATATTGTGACCCAATCCTAGTCCCAATGGGCCATAACCTAACCTTATAACTTGAATCCACTCTTTTTAATATCAAAATGAAGTATATCGTGCTTCAGTCATGCAATGTCTTTCTGACATGAATTCTAAACCAATTAGCTGCAGAACTGTAGCTCCCTGCTTGAGAAAATTTGGACAGATAAAGCAGAGAGCTACAGATCCAAGCGTTGTAAAAACCTTCGATTTACGCCGATTATATTTTGTCGCTATTTTAGGTATTTAATTCGTGTACTTGAACTTTCTCTGGCTTTAGAATTGTATCCTATAACTCTTACTTGTGATACTTATTTAAGTTTATTTACCTTTTCACGGTCTGAAACAGTCCTGTATATAGTTTGGTAATGTCAGTTTAAAAGAGTTCTATTTCGACGTCTGTAACCTTAAACAGCCATTTGTTAGCGTTGAAAGGTAAGTAAATTATCAGGAATTGAAGATACATGTAAATATATGAATAATTATTAAATACTTTTTTAGAGCTGGTGAAAGTTAAATACCAGAAAAAATATCCAAAGTGAGTGACAAAAAATCGGCGGCGTAAATCGAAGGTTTTTCAACGCTTGGATCTGTAGCTCTCTGCTTTATCTGTCCGAATTTTCTCAAGCAGAGGGCTACAGTTCTGCAGCTATAAACCAATAACATTTTCAATACATTACAAAACAATTCCTTCATGATGATACATGGTATTACCTTGCCTGTACAGAATTCTACCCTGCTGACCAATGATGACAGACCCCCCCTTGATCTTGTGTTCTCTCATGGTGTTGATGATAACTTGATCGAATGAGGACATATTTTCATCTGTAGTTTCATTAGCTTGAACACATCCTGTAAGCCATTAGGAAGCAAAAATATCATTATTATAACTCTAGAAAGAGCAGCTTGTAAGATCTGCAACTGGAATTTATTAAAAGGCAAGTAATTTTATTTCGTGTGTGGTGCTTCTCACGAAATTATGCAATAATTAATTCCATGCATATATTTAGGAACTTAACAGTATATTAATTGGTATACAGTATAACACTTGATTGTATTACCTTGTGATAAGCAGTAGTCTGATTTTTCACAATAATCTTCAAGGCAATTCTCAGGTAGTGGTTTGACTTCTTGAAATATGAAAAGAACATGGTGGAACAGTAATTATAGTGTACATATAGAACATGTAAACCAATATATTACAACATACTAAGTAAGAAATATTTAAATTTTCAATGTATTTGTCCGAGATAAAATTACAAATAGTAAAAATACTTTATTTCTAAATAAATCTACTAGTTTGTCGATAGGTGTGGTTAATAAAATAGTTACATGCCGGGCAGAACAGAAACAGAAGTGGGGTTTGTAAAAAGTGAATTTGCGGAATCAAGAGCGTGTAAATATAAGGAATAAGTGTCAGATTTCTGGGAAAAAATAGGTTAGGTAGGCAGGGAAAACATTTTATTTTAACATTTTATTCATTTCATTGTTTAAACTTTAACAGGGAAACCCCTGTCAAAGCATTTCAGATCAATATATAGAGGATGACCATTTTCTTAAACACATCGAAAGAGATCTAGATTTGGATTTCTAATAGTGCAACCCAGATTTGTTTACTTTCAAAGAGATATCAGCAGAAAACTTTTTTAAGGTCTACTTATATATTTTAAGGTTGGTTAGGGAACCTGAAACACACAACTTATTTATCTCGCCCTTATGGATTTTCAAAAAAAAAAAAAATTTCTAAGTGAGAATCACCTTTTTTCTCACCAATAACATAAAACCAAGAACTGTTCCAGAATTTTGATGCAGAAATGTCTAAAACCCAAATGTTTTTCATAATATTAAAGCTGACAGTTTCGGCTCTATATATAATACAAAGATTATATAACAGCTACCTACCAGTAATAGAAACTGTATTTTCATGTTCCACTTTCCTAACTGTGCTTTTTCTGATCTTTATAGGCTGGTAAGGGCTACGGCTCTCTGTCAACACCCCTGTCAGTGTGAATAGTGAATACAAAATTTTACTTTAGGCAGCTTGACTGAGATAGCGGTCATACTCATAGGTTTAAGGGTCACGAGTTCTTAGCTGCAGAACAGCTAGTAGATGTCAACTAAGAGTGTATACCTGATAGAGATGTAAGGTATAAGAATTGTTTTAAATTAATCTTTTTTGCAACTGAGGTAAAAATTTGGAGAAATTAATCCAGAGCCAAGCGCAACTTTTTGTGTGCAATATAGTTTTTCGTTATTGGTGACACTGTAGCTCTCTGATTGTCCATCCCTTTTTGCTGACCAGCAATTGCTACAGATCTAGATCTGTATTCTGTATTGAGAAGTTGATGGCTTGTTTTTATACTTCCCCTCAACTTGACATCGCAAGTAAAGGTAATACCGTGATAAACGTGTTTTAGGTCGGCAGAATGGGTATTTTTAATTGCATTTCCATTGCAAAACAACACCTGTGAATCCAAAATACATAATTGATTATACATCAAGCCTAAAACATTGATTAGAGTGGGACCTGATTTAGTTCTCTATTTAGTTGAACTGCCTTTTTAATTAGTCCTTTCGTAGAAAACTTGAAGGGGGGGGGGGGGGGGTATGAAAAATCAACTTCTCAATAGACAATAGAGCATACTGGATCTGCAGAAAAATACATGATAATTTCATTACAACTAAAATAGCAATGTTTCTTCGTAACTAAAATAACTCGTTAAAGTTATTTATGGTACATTTTTATAGGATAATGTTACAGTTTATTATAGTTTATCAGTAGTTAGTTACTACAGTTGTTATTATAGTTTTCTATTATTTTCAGATCTTGATCATTGTATGACACAGTTGATAAAGGATACTAAAATTACAAATAGAAAGAACTCTTATTTATGATCAAGATAGTGACGCAATAATGCCTGTAGTACAGTGTCCGTTTCCTGGCTGTGACTATACCACCGACGACCTAGATGCAGCAATCGTCGCGGCCCTCATCACAGTCCACAGCGCTGTACACACAACTGGACCCGTTTTGACAGCAAAAGTAGAGAAAGTGAAGCGGCCTACCATAACCGCCGCTGGAACCAGCGAGGATTGGGCCTACTTTATGTCACGCTGGACAGATTATGTGGCTGCAACGAAACTGGACGGTAAAGACAAAGTCATTCAGTTGCTCGAGTGTTGTGATGAACCCCTTCGCAGAGACCTGACACGAACAACAGGTGGCAAATTAACTGAAAAAACAGTAGATAACGTATTAGATGCCATCCGTAAACTTGCTGTTCGTGAAGAAAATACAATGGTAGCCCGTGTGACATTACATAACATGAGGCAAGACCGTGATGAGTCAGTCAGAAACTTTGGTGCACGTCTCAGAGGACAAGCTGACATTTGCAAATTCGTGATTGACTGTCCTAACTGTAACACCAAAGTCAACTACACAGATGCCATTATGCGCGATGTCCTCACACGAGGCGTTGTCGACCCTGACATTCAGTTAGACTTACTCGGTGATAAGAATCAAAATATGACTTTGGAGGAAGTATTTCAATTCGTTGAAGCGAAAGAAGCAGGGAAAAGATCAGCCTCTAGGCTTCTAGATTCTCATTCGGTTGAGGCAGCCAGCTCCTACAAAAGGTCCAAGCAAGTGCCGAGCAAAGAAAATCAAGACCTGTGTTCTTATTGTGGGAAACGTGGCCATGGCAAGAAAAGTGTGGCACAACTACGTAAGACTCAGTGTCCTGCATATGGCCACAGGTGTGAACTTTGTCATCGAGATCACCATTTCGAGAGTGTCTGCCGCAGCAAGGACAATCCAAAACGCCAAACACAGTCTAGGCAACACAACTATGACAAAGAAAGTGCTGTGTTTAACACTTTGTGTACACTGTACTCCCCTCAACCACAGCATGACAACCTAAACACCATTCAACCCATCAATATGAATGGACAACGGCAAAGTATACCTCTAGATCATCACATCTACGACAGCATGACAGACACATGGTTTCGCAGAAACTCAAAGCCTCAGCCATTTGTGAACATTACTGTGCGAGCTCTTCCAGAAGATTACTCAGCCTTTGGAATTGACCTATCAACACCGTCAGCGCCCACCATTATTCCCGCTATGGCTGACACTGGTTGTCAGAGCTGCCTTGCCGGTCTTAGAGTGATTCATCGCATAGGACTATCTGAATCTGACCTTATCCCTGTGACAATGCGCATGCACACAGCTAACAATGACAGCATCAAGATACTTGGAGCCTCATTACTACGGTTCTCAAGCAAAGACAATAGTGGTAAAGTGGTGGAAACGAGGCAGATGACATATGTTACAGACTCCTCGGACAAACTGTTCCTGAGCAGAGAGGCATGCGTACAGCTAGGTATCATCAGCGATAGGTTTCCAGAGGTACAGCCTTCACAAACCGGTACCGCAGCTGTCCATGAAGAGAACACTGCACCATGTGGATGTCCTAAACGCCAATCTCCACCTCCGCCACCAAGTGTTTTGCCATTTTCACCTACAGAAGAAAACCGCTCAAAACTACAGGAGTATCTCCTTGATTTATATAGATCCAGCACGTTCAACACATGTGAACATCAGCCTCTGCCTCTAATGGATGGCCCACCTATGAAGCTTATGGTGGATCCAAATGCTGAACCAGTGGCCTACCACACACCGGTACCTGTTCCAATACACTGGCGAGCAGCAGTAAAAGAAGGCCTTGATCAAGATGTACGGTTAGGCGTGCTAGAGCCAGTTCCCATTGGAGAACCCGTCACATGGTGCCATCGGATGGTCATATGTGCTAAGAAAAATGGAAAGCCCAGACGAACGGTTGACTTCCAGGCTCTCAATGCACATGCCACACGTGAGACACATCACACACCGTCCCCATTTCTTCAAGCGCGATCGGTTCCTAATGGGAAGAAAAAGACAGTGTTTGATGCATGGAACGGCTATCACAGTGTCCCACTCTATGAAGAAGACCGGCATCTGACAACATTCATCACGCCATGGGGAAGATACCGATACAAGACCGCTCCACAAGGCTACATTGCCTCAGGCGATGGTTACACGAGACGCTACGATGAGATAGTTACAGACATTCCAAACAAAACCAAGTGTGTTGATGATGCCTTACTCTGGGCTGATGACCTAGAAGAAAGTTTTTTCCAGGCAGTGCGTTGGCTTGATGTGTGTGGAAAGAATGGAATAACACTCAACCCAGAAAAATTTGTCTTCAGAGCAGATGAGGTCGAGTTCGCCGGCTTTGAAATCACCCTTGATGAAGTCAGACCCTGTCGGAGATACCTGCAAGCTATCATAGACTTTCCCACACCAAAAGACATCATGGATGTGCGTTCATGGTTTGGCCTTGTGAATCAGGTTTCATACGCCTTCAGTATGGCTAAGCGCATGTTACCATTTCGGGATCTCTTGAAGCCAGGAACTGTTTTCCAGTGGAATGAACACCTGCAGACATTATTTGAGGAGTCAAAAGCACAGATTGTAAGAGAAATAGAAGATGGTGTTCGCATCTTTGACCCTGACAGACCCACATGTTTGACAACTGACTGGTCCAAATCAGGTATCGGGTTCTGGCTCCTACAGAAACACTGTACATGTGAGAAAACAGAACCTTTTTGCTGTCCATCTGGATGGAAGATCACACTTGTCGGCAGCAGATTCACTCATCCATCAGAGTCTCGCTATGCACCTATTGAGGGTGAGGCACTAGCTGTTGCAGATTCCCTGGACAAGGCCAGATACTTCATATTAGGATGCAAGGACCTAGCCATTGCAGTCGACCATAAACCACTTCTCAAGATCTTCGGTGACCGATCTCTTGAAGACATTTCAAACAATCGTCTGAGAAACTTAAAGGAGAAAACACTCCGATACAGATTCCGTATGGTCCATATCCCTGGTGTCAAACACCGTGCTACAGACTGTCTTTCACGCCATCCTATTAGTGATGCAGAGAAACTTATCTTACCTGATGATGTTGCGCAAGTAACCAATCACAGACTTTTAGAGAACCTTCATCTGGAAAATTCAAATACTAAATACATCCGGAGAAGTGGCAGAGATGAACTCATGAGATCAACTGCTGTTGCATCACTGAACGCCCTTGGCCTGAAGTCGGTGACCTGGGACAGAGTTCGTGTAGCTACAGCCAGTGACCAAGATATGCTACTACTGAGTGAGATCATAGAAGGTGGAATGCCACAGCACCGTCATGAAGTACCAGAATCTCTACGACAGTATTTCCAGTACCGTGAGGGCTTGTCGACCACTGATGGGGTTATTCTGTACAAGGACCGCGGAAGGAAGCCCTAGATACCTTACATTCAGCCCATCAAGGAGTTACATCCATGATAGCTAGAGCTGAAACATCTGTATTTTGGCCAGGGATAACGCCGGACATAAACGCTCTTCGTGCAAACTGCCAACAATGCAACCGCAATGCACCGTCCAACCCGAGTGCTCCACCAGTTCCACCAATGAGCCCGGAGTATCCCTTCCAGTGCATCTGTGCTGATTACTTTACTTACAAAGGTAACCATTACCTGGTGGTTGTGGACCGCTACTCAAACTGGCCCATCGTAGAGCAGTCAGCCGTTGGAGCTCAAGGACTGATAACTTGTCTCAGACGCATCTTTGTCACACACGGGATACCTGACGAACTTGCATCTGACGGGGGACCAGAGTTCACAGCTACAGCTACAAGGCAGTTCCTTAGTGACTGGGGTGTGCATCATAGATTATCCTCAGTAGCCTTCCCCCACAGTAACTGCAGAGCAGAGATTGGAGTCAAGACAGTCAAGCGCCTTCTAATGGACAATACTAGCTCTTCTGGTGACATTGACACAGACGCTTTCCAGCGAGCCATGCTACAATACAGAAATACACCAGACAGAGACATGAAGCTCTCTCCAGCCATATGCATATTTGGTCGACCAATAAGAGACTTCATCCCAATCCCACCTGGGAAATACAAGCCTCATCCAACATGGCAAAGCACATCTCTTGCCCGTGAAGAGGCATTGCGCAACAGGCATATGCAATGTGCAGAAAGACTATCGGAACATACACAAAGACTACCACCTCTTTCAGTTGGAGACCATGTTCGTATGCAGAACCAAATTGGACTTTTCCCTCGCAAGTGGGATAAGACAGGAGTAGTCATTGAGGTGCGCCAGTTTGACCAGTATGTCGTGCGCATTGATGGCTCTAGACGTGTCACCTTACGGAACAGGAAATTTCTTCGCAAATATATTCCAGTTCAGTTGCCACCAAAGCGACTTACCATAGAAACTGATTCTAAGGCACATCCACCATTGTCTTCCCTGTTGAGGCCTGTCACATTCCCCGCTCTCACCATGGACACAACAGTGAGGCCTGGATCAACAACACCGATGAAAACTAGTCACAATGCAGGAACAGTCACCCGTGCCTGCCACCGAATCCCCATCTGAGACACCCACTCCTATCAAGGTGCAAAAACCATGCCATCCGCTCACAGACACTGAGCCAAGGACTCAAGATGCCAGCTCACCACCAGATGTTGCCAGAGAACCACCTTGTGCAGAAGCAACGGTTGCTCCACCACCAACGACTGAGTCCACACCTACCCTGCCACGACGTACCAGCCGCATCAGACATGCTCCAGAATGGCAAAAAGACTTTGTTTGCGAATAAACTCACACAACATGAACTTTACAATCAGTGTATGGAGTGCATAAATGAAGACATTCAACAGTGAATTACAGCCCATAATTGACAAATCATTAGCCATTAATATTATCATGTGTTAAATATCAGTCTTTTTCATTCAGTTCCTTCATTTATAAACTAAATGGACACTTCCTACCAAAAGACTTGGGGGAGATATAGGATAATGTTACAGTTTATTATAGTTTATCAGTAGTTAGTTACTACAGTTGTTATTATAGTTTTCTATTATTTTCAGATCTTGATCATTGTATGACACAGTTGATAAAGGATACTAAAATTACAAATAGAAAGAACTCTTATTTAATTTTGATTTTTCTATTTTACCTGAGGGTTTCCCCACATTGTAACTGTAGGACGGGCAGTATATTGTGAATTGTTGATGCTGCTCTTTGACATGGGAAGTCGGGTTCGATTCTGCATTGCTCGATTCCATGACTTCGATCAATCTTGTTCACAATCTTCTTCGGGAAAAAATACCTTCAGCATTTCTTTGCACATGCATAAAAACTCAGATATGCTTTGGAAATTTGTTTTAAACATGATAGTTCAGTTTGTCATTCTCTTCTTTGCATCGTGAGGAAATCGTGGAATGATTGCAAAGGTAAAAGTTTTACGCGAGGAAAATTTTTTCCCGAAAGAATAAAATAGCTTAATTTCTATGAACTTATATACGCCCCAAGAAATATGAATTCTTAAATATCATTTACTTATTCAGAAGATTTTTAAAAAAGAAAGATATGAATAAACAATAATAAATCTCCAACTAGATATAAATTCCGGAAATTTCTAGTCCTAGTGCATTTTAAATTTATGTTCCATGAATGATATCCTGCTGCAGAATCCTTGTTTGTTTCAGAAATGAATTATTTAGAGCATTATTTTCTTCCATTTGGTAAAACATACTTTATAGAAATTTAACTTAGATGATACAGATTTAATAACTTATGAAAACACGTAAAACATATCACTGTTAAGTCCTTTATCATCTTATCAGGTCCAGCACAATGCTTATTTAAAATTTGCTCTTAATGACAGACTTATAATAATCATGTTAAAGTGTTTGCCTGTGTGCAAATAAACTGAATTTAATTCTAAATATGTTTTATATTCTTACTGTAGATTTGTGCAAAGCTAATGAAATTGCAGATGAGTCTCTGTGGAATTTTGACTCTTTGATAACAGAGTTTATGAAAGAACAAAGAATTCCAGGAGGAGCCATAGCATTATCCTATAATGGCAGACTTATTCACAAACAAGGTGAAATATATATTTGAACAAGTTTACCTGTACAATGTAATAGAGTGTAAATTTTACCAGCATTACAGTTTTCTGGCATATTAAATAGACTGTCTTAATACATTTATGAAGATTTTGCTTATGCAACACAATGAGCTGTAAATTAAGGTATTTGTACCTTATAACAGCATACTACATGGATTCAATCATGGCTAATATGTTCTACGGTGCGACTGTTGGGGGCGAGCGCAGTTATTTACCATTAAAGACATTTACACAGCTTTTACTTGCACTGCCTATCCTCAGTTCACTAAAAAAGAAGCCAAGCATCGGGATCGAGATTCCGAACTTTTCGGAAGTTTCCGAAAAATCGGAAATACCCGAGCCGTTAGTGACAAAACTTTGACGTCAAATAAAAGAAAGTCTTGTTGACTTAGAACGCAAATGATAGTTTCATGGCATGGAGATAGCATAAAATCGTTGTTTGTAATTTTTTTCAAGTAAGTTGTTGCTATGTTTTAGCCACCATGTTGCTATGCACCGCAAAGGATTATTGGTAGTTTGAAATTTTTTCACGTGGTACGATAAAAGTTTCTTGGAACATTGTGCAGATTTCAACATGAATTTCCTCCGTTCTACACGTTAGTGTATTGAGCTCTCTACTCGAGTGGCGCTTTGCGCCGCCTCACTGCGCTTGCTATTATAAATCAATTATTTGAATCACTAAGAATCGTACTTACTTGCCAAATCATGATTACATCTCTGAATGCAATTTCTAAAACTACATGCTTTCTGATATAATTTTTTTGTAAACTTCTAGGTTATGGCAGTACGGGGAATGGTTCAAGATGTCTTTCAACATCCTACTTCCGGATGGCCAGCATTTCTAAGACTATCACAGCCATGGCTATAATGCAGTTAGTGGAACAAAATAAATTGCAGCTGAAAGATGAAGTATTTAGCAGAAAAGGAAAAGGTGAAAAAATTAAACCATACCCAGTTTGAACTTTCTTAAGGGAGGGAAAATTACAATGTGTTTCACCATGACTATCATTGTATCCTGGATAATTAAGTGAATTAACGAAAGTTGATAAAGCATCATGTTTACACATGTATGGTTAATTCTTTAGCAGATTTAATCTGAGGAATGTTCAGCCTTGCTTTCTTTATGTGTCAAAAACTCTTTCAATTTTACAAACTTTAAGGAATACTTCCAAATTTTGTCCCGGATGGACCCAGTGTCAAAAGCCTGGAGAGGATTTCAGTGCGGCATCTCTTAGAACACTCTGGGGGCTGGGATCGTGAGACAGGGGTGGATCCAGTGTATCTGCCCCCTCAGACTGTCTGCCCCAAGGAATATAAAGAATCAACCACACCTGAGGCTCTCTACACCAACTACCATACAAATCTCATCCAGTACATGATTAAACAAGCTCTGGATTTTAAGCCTGGTTAGTCTTGACTTTCTTGTTTTGTCTTTGAGAAGAAAGCAGCATTTAAGGAATTACCAATTATATCCAGTTTATACTAATAGATGGAAATTTTTGTAGGGACTCGGCATGGCTACTCTAATTTTGGTTACTTGGTGCTTGGGCAAGTTCTAGAGAAACTCACAGGGATCCCCTTTCCTGTTTATATACATGATGTCATCAATCAGGCAGATGACTTCTGGGTCTATGAGGGAGATGAGCTGCAAAGACTAGATCCAAATGAAGTAATTTTTTCTTATCTTCTTTGACATCTTTTTTAGCATACAATCTCCTTGCAGTCTTCCTAGTTACTATTTGTATATCTGCCTATCGTAGGCATTTGTACTAACTTTTAAAAATTCATAGCAGCCACCTGGTTATAAAAGATTCGATCTTAGCAATAAAGTTACCCCCTCCGTCTAAACACATTAACGCCATAATAAGATACTTTGAATCTTTTGAGTGGTATTCCAAGAGTATATCAAGGACAAAGGATATAATATTTTAATAAGCTGAATAGAAGAGAATATAATGAGAAATGATCCAGCTTACACCAATCTCTGTTAAAGATTTTTAATGCTTCTTTTTCAAAATTTTATAAAATACTGAGGAGATCACTACATTAAACATTTTTATTCAGGTCACATATTTTGAAAACAGTGATAGGTTACATCCTAGTATTATGCCACATCACGGTGAGATACGGAGCATGCAATATGGGGGATACCACATGAAGGGGACTGGTTCTTATGGAGGGCTGGTGGCATCTCCCTTACAACTTCTCAACCTCCTATCAACTCTAGACTTGGAGCACTGGTAAATATTACATGTAAATTTAATTTATATGTGAGAATCCAGATCGATTTATGATTTAAATAACCTTCATAATTAACAAAACAGATGTTAAGATATACTGTTTGAAGTTCATTCATTATTTAAGTTTCTGTTTTGGCAATTCTCTGGGTAAAAAAATATAAATGAATGTTTTTTAGGCAGTGATTGATAAGAGTTATCTCCCAGTATAAATGTATAAGAAGATAATTTCAAATATTTTTAATTTCAGTAAAGGAAACAGAATTTTATCAAAAGCATCCATTTCACAAATGCTGGCTTGTCCAAAGTTTGAAAAAGGAAGTGAATGGTATGGACTAGGGTTAGATGTGGAAGACAAAGGTCAAAGCTGGGGTCACACAGGTTACATGGATGGAACCACAACAACCTTCCGAAGAGACAAAAGTGGATACTCCTGGGTTTTACTGTTCAATGCTGGAGCTACAGATCAGGACTTAGACGGGCTAGTCAGATTTGCTCTGTCCTCTTGTCAATGTAATAGGCTATCTTCTGGTCTGAATGTCTCAAATGTTAATGTTAAAAAGCAACAAATCTCATGTGCAGATAAAGCTCAGATATATCATATTCTCATCCCACTTGAAGAAATAGGAGATTATGTCTGTTCTCTAAAGTCAAAAGGATATTACATGCAAGATATTGATTTAGTTGTGTATGAAAATGCATTTTATGTAAATATGACTTGGAACCATAATGTAGACAATATTGACTGGTTTTATAAGATTTACCATGATGTGTCTGTGAATGACTCAGAAACAGAGCATGATATGAATAATCAGATTAATAGTGGTTTTAGGATCCACACATTATCCATATGCACTGATTCAAAATACCAAACTGATATTTATACAGCTGTTATTTACATGAAACAAAGATCAAAACAGACTATTCAACACCTCACACACCTGAGGGAAATTTCATCAGAATCACCTTGTGTAAATAATAACGTAGTTATCTATTGTGTTTGTTACTTTTGGAAAAGGTTGTATGTTTCAACAGTTTTTGAGGTGATTAGATCCATAGAATATTCTGCTTTGAAAGCAGTCGATGATATCAAGACCTCATCACATTTTATAACAGAAAAGCATAATAAGAATTTGACCGATACAGTGTTAAGTGGGCTGTCTGTTACCTGTGGTTCCTTATATGAGAATGATCACGGAAGTCCAGTATCTGACCAGTATCTGAAGGAGTCTCCTTTTGTCAGTTACAGCACTGCTGCTACATGTACTAGTAACGGTAAATTGTATAGTAAAGAGGAGGATGCCAAGGGAGAGAAGCCATTCAATATTGCAAAGACTAACATGACAGAGGATGAATTTCTGGATGAACTGCGCAATCAAGCTCTCTCTCATTATGGATTGATTTACCTCCAAATCTATAAACTACCCAGTAGGAAAGACATTTCTCTAAGTGCAGTATGGTCAAATTTCAAAGTTCATGAGTGTTATCAGAGACTTGGAGCATCCAGGTTCAGTTTTATGAATGAGTTGTTGGAGAATTCAGGGAAGATAACTCCACTAGAGACCATCAGAGCTTATGAGGAGGATGGAGTACTGTTGTTTGCAGGTATTTGGAAGGCTGGAAAATTCAGATCAAAGAGGCCTAAATCAAGAATATCCAGTAAGACTCAAAATCTGAAAAGAAAACGAAAAAGAACAAAGATGATTGATAATGTCAATTAATACAGTAACCTAAATATACATATGAATATATGATTCATTTAAGTGTTACATCCCTCTCAAGAATAAAAATGAATACAGAAACTTTTTGTATTTCTTTGGTTTATTCCATGGAATTGACTCTTGATATTTTCTATATACAAAATGTACAAAAGTATGTGCATTAATTTTGTATATATATATATATTATACTAGATTAAATAAATGCTTAGGATATTGATTCCATGGATGTTGAGTTAATTTCTAGACAACACGGTGCAATGCCTACTATAATATGGAATACATTTTTTTATATTTATATTCAAAAAACATAGTGCATTGAGAGTTAGAGATTGATGGGTTTAATTTTTACAATCCTAGACTAATGGAATTGAAAATTACAATTTAAACACTGTAAGATGTATATACACATACTACTTTCTTCACAGTCACATCTCAATATTTATATATTGATATAAAACTTATTTTTGCTAACGCTTGCTTTTGAATATTTTTTGTCCTTGTACAATAATTCAACGGTGAACAGCACACTGGCTTTTGTGTGGAAGTCACGAAATGAAATAAAATCACATTTCCAACCACAAAATATTGTACACAATATATCAATTATATACATGTTATATTGTTTGTAAATATTTTTAACAGAGTAAACATAAAAAAGAAAAAAAAAGGAAAAGTGGAGGTTCTGGCGAGGTTCGAACTCGCGACCTTCTGCGTGTAAAGCAGACGTGATAACCACTACACCACAGAACCCTTGGCAGAGCGGAGCAAAACATTATTTATAAACCATGTGCACTTATCGTTATGACGTTGAACACATTTTTATACTTCGGATATTTCCGTTGATGATCGGAGTCGTATACGGAATTGGTCGGATTTCAACGAATGAACTGAGCATTCGCTACGCATGTAAACAATATGGCGGATCACTACACAAAATTTCACAAAACAATGTATGAATATATATGAACTGAAAAAAAAATTAAAAATGGGCGTTGGATGCAGCAGTGATTTTGATGGATGAAGAATATTATTTTACATATGATATAAAACTGTATATTTTCTGCTATCATGGTTAGCTTTTGAAAAAAAATATTGAGATTTTTGTGTTTTTTACTTTTAATATTTACTTATTTATTTTGTGTTCACAGTTATGAATCTAGCATACTGATTTTCTGTACCACAGTATATAGGTCCTACTTGCCTGATTTTGTGTGTGTTCTAAAAAATATGGTTTATATAAATGAACATGTAAATAAAATCACATCCTTTCCAAACGTCACACCTTAAAATAGTTGGTAAATAATATATTTTTTATATAGAAATTTGTTATCATTTGGTTTGGGGTCTTTGAACCATATTTTTAACAGAGTAATCATGAAAAAAAAAGCCGGTGGCCAGATAACTCAGTTGGTAGAGCACCTGACCGGAGTTTCAGGGAACTGGCTCAGATCAAATCCCGGTCTGGTCCCTGCATTTTTCTCCTCTTCCCATTACATTTGGTGCTATGCCATCACTGTCATGCCCTACACCAGATGAAGGTCCCTTGAGAGAGAGGGGGTCTGCCAAAAGAAATTCTTTATAAAGACCATGTGCACAGTAATGTGGTTATCAGACGTTGAACGCAAATTCAGGAGGCCAGGTTGATTTCCAGTCTGGTTTGCTGCATTTTTCTCCTCCTCTTTTACACCAATAACTTTCTTGTTTTTATACATTGACAGGTGATACTGAAGTTGGGAAGACATGTATAATGTTGAGGTATCTGAAGAATCAATTCAGCCCTATGTACATGCCAACAAAAAAGGCTGTTATAGGTAGGTGTATGTCTAAAAATTATATTTCTGTACAAAATCTACAAAACTAACAACTCAAAAGATATAAATTACTCTTCACATACATGGATTGTTTTATACAGTTATACTCACCAATTAAAAAGAGAGATTATTTGAAAAAAAAATAAGGCATAGACATTATTAACACTTTTAAAAACATGCAAATAAATTTAAAAATGGGTGTTGGATGCAGCAGTGATTTTGATGGATACCGTAAGAATATTGACATCTATTAAACCTACTTCAGAGATTTAGATGCTGCTATAGGTAATTCATGTTAATTATTCTCTAAAAGTGCCGTAGATGAGGTACATGATTTATTCAATTGAGTGATGGCAACTCAGATAGAGGGAGGAGAATCTATAATAAAGATACAGTACAGTCAACGCGGTTTAGGCATTTACCGCGTACGCCCCTGGGCCTTATTAGAAAAAAAAATATTAAGATGGCTTTTTTGTATATTTACTTTTATTATTTACTTGCAAAACAAAATAAAACGTTTAAGGATTTTTAAAATTTATTGTCGCTGAAATATTTGAAGTACAAAATGAAAATTAATTTTTCTAAAAAAATATACTCTCTTGTATCTAAATAATTATAACAATCGTCAAAGCAATTTTCAGCAACATCCTTGACACATGAATTACTTTTTTTAAATGTGTTCACACCTTAAGATTGCAATAAATTACTGTATGTGATATATTTATGCGAAGTCACCCATTGCTCATTTTTTTAATTTATATTTTCGATAATGTTAAATTTATTTTATCAATGTCACTTTCGTTGGGGCTATAAATGAAAGTGTTTTAAAATTATTAATCTTCAAATATAGGATTATAATACCAAAGATTTTTATGTAATCCTTTATGGAGGGGCAATGTTCTTGAAATCAATAGGGTGTGTATGTGTGTGTAATTTGATGGCCTACCAATCCGTAGAAGATAAAATAAAATTACATAATGTGGCCAGATAGCTCAGTTGGTATAGCACCTGACCGGAGTCCCCTGCACCAGCCCTACCCCTGATGTACACCTGTGTGCCCGAAAGCGGGTCAGTAAATTTCAGCTGTCGTACATGTTTAACATACTTCACAATGACATTCACATTGATCATATAATTTAATACATATTTGAATTAATTATTTGGTGCCATGATTACCAAAAAGTTAATGTTGATGTAACATGCCCTGGAACTTGACTTTATTAATTATTAATGTGTCTTACACAAAACTGCCAATCACAACTTTGGGATTTTCCCAATATCAGCAGATAGAAGCTAAGTTGGTTTAGAAAATATTGTATTCATGTATGAAAATTAAATCAAAACAGTGCAAAAACAAACAAAAAAAAATCTGCAAAATTCTTAAAGGTCTTTGAGGGGCGAGAAATTCATAAACACCATTAAATCTTTTTGCATTGGTAAGTAATTTTTTGTCCTTGTTAGAGTAATGTATACTCAGTGTACATGTAGCTGCACGGACTAATCGGGTTTGATTACCTGTGTATTGTGCGCATTCAAGCGGAGAGGGATTTCCTGTCTTACAGTGACACTGTACTGGGTATAATTTCACACCTTTGTGAAAGACAAAGGATTTGGATGCCATTTTGTTTTAAAAATATAAAATCATAAACCGGGTTATAATTTTTTCTCCCCCCCCCCCCCCCCCGTTCTCACTGCCGTCTGCATGAACTTCATATTTTTTTTTAAAGCATAAGGTTGTTTTTAATTTTACATTTGACCAAAGGTGATACTTAATAAATTAAAATGACTTTCCCTGTATATGCTTCGTCTCTACAAATACAAAAAATTGGAATGTTAACACCTATGGCTGTGCCAACAAAAATTTCATTGCTGTTAATCCCAGGTACAGGGGTGGCTATAGAGGTGTAAATGGTTATATTTCTTTTACATATATATACATGTATATAGCAAAAGAACGATATATCAATTTATTATGCACAAGATATAAATTACTGTTCACATACATGTACATGGATTGTTTTATACTTTCTCTTATTTTATTTCACATTGATTAAATAGGAGATTATGTGAAAAAAAATAAGGCATAGACATTATTAACACTTTTAAAAACATGCAACAATAAGTTAACAACTTTGTATTAATTTTTCAGTGGCGTATGATTTATTTTGAGAGAGAGAGAGAGAGAGAGAGAGAGAAATGTTCCATCATTGTCACATGTTTCAGTATTTAGCCTCCCTTACTATTTATCGACATCCCCGTTTCAGTAAAAGTGATACACGGTATATAGTCAATAATTTAGAGAAATAAAGTTTATGCTTATGCTCATGTTTTAAAAACTTATATCAAACATCACTTCACACGCTATTTGTTTTGTTGTTGTTGCTGATTTTTTTTTAATTCTTCGGGTAGCAGTAACATTGTAATAATATTTTTATGTTTTTTTTTCTCAAAACCTGTGCCGAACAATATGCAGTTATGATTTATTCACATAAAATGAGTGATAAGGCAACGGTCAGATACCGAGGGTATACCTGGCTACAGGTAGGACCGCGATGAAATAACCATAATAAAAGATACTTTAATGCCTAATCCGGACATAATGGATCTTAATCTCTTCTGATCTTCCTCTGTGTAAAACTTGTTTTTAGTCTAATAATGTCCAAGAATTCTAAGTCTCGATCTCGCATTTACATTTTATAGATGGTGCATTTACAATATGGCAGCTTCTTTCAATTGAATTGTAATACATGAGAATTTCATATAACAGAGGCTTTAATTTTGGAATGTTTATTTGAGACTTATTATAGTGACACAGTGTACATTTTCTAAAATTCACTATGCTTATTTATTACAGTTGTGGTAGACCTCACAGAAATGAACAGCATTGAGATGGCCCCTGTTTGGAAACAGACTGTCCTTAACAACACGTTTGTTACCTGCCCAGTCAAAGAGGCCACCCACGGGGGCCAGGTGAAAACAATGACAATGGAGGAACGCCCGGTTGATAGAGAGACATTTCCTGTTCTCCTGATGGGAAATAAATTTGATGTGGTACATTACTCTTTACCTTAACTTGTATTGTGATTTAAACAATATATATTCAGAAAACTGACTTAATTAAACAACAGACAAGCTGCCTATAAATACCCTCTCTATACAAGGTCATGTGTAACATATACATTCAGAAAAAAATGAACTGAATTTATGTTTATAATACAATCAATTTAATTAAGATCATTAGATGTTAGTCTAAGATCTGCTATCACTCTCGCAACTAACGATGTTAGTAGCCAGTGTGTGAGCGCATCTAACATCTAATTTTAATTAGATTGTAATGCAACATGGGAAGAGTGTACTGTCACATTCTAAATACCAAACTACCTTGACAGACTTGAAATTAAAATTTATAAGTCATTCTCTATGAAAATTAAAGGAGACTATTGTGTACAATGTACATGTATATTATGTTACTTTGTGGATCTTTCTTTAGTATGACTATAATGATTTGCAGATTGAACAAAGAGTTCAGGCAGAGAGATTGAAGAAATATGCACAGGAGAGTCAAACAGGTACCATTGTTATATTTTTTAAGCCAATCATATATGATCAATGTGAATATGATCCTCAAAAAAAAAATACCCAAAGGAAATTAGATTGCCTTACTCTTGTTGACATATTTAATTTTGTTACAAAATAATTTCAGTATCCAAGGGGTCGAGATATTGAGAGTTTAATATATAGAGAAAAATGATACATGTAATGATTCAGACTTCTTAATGACCTTGATATTCCGGTAGTATTCAAGATATATTGATGCATGAGTTACTAAAGTTCAACTGTAATGTGTGTTGGATTTAATTTTGTTATTTTCATTGACCCAAATATATGAAATTTAATCAAAGGAAAAAAGTTAAAGCATATATGCAATATTAATTTTACCTGAGAGTACAGGGTAATATGTTTTGATTGAAATTTGACGCGAAAAAAATTGTTAAGTAAGATTTTTTTGAAAATAAAAAAAAAATGGTATTCACAGAAATAAATTCAATGTTGATTAAATGAATAACTCTGTCATGCTCAAATATTTGTAGAAGGAGAAGACAAAAGGGTGTGGTCATTGGGTGAACCCCTGACAGAGGAAGAAAAACCCGAGAGTATAAAACTGTTAGAGAAGATAGCAGTGGATCACAGTTTCCATGCCAGGTCAGGATCTATTGAAATAATTCCTGTAAATAATATTTTGTTGATTGTTAGGAATGAAATACTGTAGAAGTACTTTTTTCCGCGTGGTATTAATTTACGCTATGTTTTGGACGCGGAATCACAAATTTTTACAAACATCTCTTGTTAAATTTTTTTGAAAAATTAAAGCGTATATAATATAAATGTAATGCACATAGTGACAATCTAGAAAATCCGCATAATTTTCTACCCGCTGATTAAACAGAAATTGAGATTCCGCGTAATTATGACCCCGTGGAAAAAAGTACTTCTACAGTATAACGTATCTAAAAAATGCATAATGAAGTAAATCAGCTACCAATAACAGGAAAGTAATTGAAACATATCGAACATATGCATAACCACAATTCGATTTATTTCGTTTTCCTCAAAACAATTGATAAAAAGAAGTATGTTTTTAAAAATTCAAGATTAAGAATATCCTGTTACATGTATTGCAAAATAGAGGAAAATAGTTTGTGTAGGTGATATATTTTTGTACATAACACATTACTGACAGAGGGATTGCTCCCCTTAGCAGTGCTATGGTTGCTAAACTGTGCTCACATATGAGTATATCCAGCATCAACTCTTTATCATGAAGTCTTCTTTCTCCTTACAGTGTGATGGTGTCAGCCCGAGACGGAGATGGATCGGTAAGAGAAGCCATGCAGAATCTAGTGAGACATGTACTAGAACACAAATACTCCATGAAAAAATACCGCAATAAGGAGGACTCAAAGAAACACAAGGATAAGAAACGGAAAGAAATAGAAGGACTGGATAAAACGGGGATCAAATTAGTAAGAGACCTAAAAACTTTTAAAAGAAAAAAATCTTACTGGTTCCTTTCTATAAATATTCACTAGATAAAGTATTTAGAAATAATTATATATAAAAGTTTATTATTTAAAAATTAAATGGAAAAATATGAGGAGTTTTTAATTCTTTTCACAAAAAGAAAAAAATTCAAAACAATTTTTAAATACATATAACCTTCAATCTCAACAATATAAAAAGAAGTGAGGATATGTTATTGATAACTTGTAGGTGAAAAATAAAGAAAAATAAATGTGTTTGTCCATTTCAGTTTGACACTGAATTCATAACTGCCAGCACATCTGTGAAGAAGATAATGACTTTAAGGGAGTTTTATAATAAGTCATTAACAAAGTTTAAGGATGGATGTCAATTGGCACAAATTGTGGAGAAAGGAGAAAATAGTCTGGAAGATTGCATCACGGCACTGAAAGAAAATATAGGAGAGGGAGCAAAACTGAAGGTACACTGAAGTTATCCTTAATATACACGCATCAATGGAAGTTTAATCAACCTATGCCCTTGGGACACAGATTTGTTTCACATACTGGAATATATAAATGCAAAATATTCAAAAATCCCAGGAACATAGAAGTCTAAATTTTAAAATTTACATGAAAGCAACCTCATTTAATGTAAATTCATTTCATATCATGGCTCCTTGAGTAGATGATGGAGATTAAGTTTTATTGATGCACAATGATATAAAGCAGCTGTCCTGTTATTTGACAAATGAACTTCTAAAGCTATCAATTAAAAGTCTTATATGTACTAGTTTATGTATATTATAACTTTTCTTGTTGACAGATTTGACATGTTTTTGACAATTGCAGGTTAAAAGAGATGAAGAATTCTGTAAATTAGAAATTGATTCCAAAATAGAAGATTTCAAACCAGCAAAGAAAATTAGAATATTGCTCAATATCTTCCACACAGAGGTAATTTTTTTTATAATGTATTCATATGCAAAGGTACATTGAATAGTTTAAGTGCATTTATATGTACATGCATGTATATTCAATGATAAATGAAATAATTATATTATATATGTAACATACATTTCTGAAGAGGTACAAATGAATTTTGTATTTGTGAATACTGTAAACAGGGAATTACCCCTTTTATTCTTGCCCCTTTAATTCTTATCATAAATGGGCGAATTTATGATTAAATTGGTAAAATCAAAGAAGGACCACATTTTCATTTTAACATAACTGTTTTTGGCCAAAAAAAAGGTAAAATTGCTTTCCAGTTGTAAGATTGAATGGGCTAAAATAATGTGGGGTGAAAATAACCCTGTATACAGTACATACATTGTATTACATTCCGACAATTTCTGAAAAAGATTATTTATATACCATATCTTTTGGGTTACCATGTAGTATGCTAGTGTATGTAAAACCATACAGAAAGAGTGCCCCCTACTGGACAAGAAGCTTCAGCAGCAGGATGAGGCTATAGACTCCATGTGCAAGGAATGCTGGGAGGAAGTTGCTATGGTAGAGGGACAGCCTCGCAGTAAAGAGGAAATAAAAAACATCACAGAAGTCATTGAGACCAACAGGGCTAAGATGCAGCATGCTTGTTTGGAGGCCAGAGCTGCAATAACTGTGGTGGAAGACGCCATGATGAAAATCAAGACAGCATTTTTATGGTGAATGAAGCAGGCCTTTGTACTAGGCTCTTCCTTCTTTAATTTTTTATGTGTAAAGTTTTATTTCTTCTTATTCATTTTTTGACTGCAAAGGGATCTTAATTTAGTTATATCCTTTTGTACCACATTTGGAAATTACCTTAATTTAAATTATTTTACATAACATAAATATGTTGGATATAAAAAAATGCATTAATAATGATCAATTTTTATAGGTTATACATGTATACATGCATGTACCATTGTATACATTGAACCTATTAATACATGTTTAATAGTAATTAAGCTAACATGGTGCATTTCTGATTTTTAGCTCCCAAAATAGCAGATGTTTTGTTCATCTGTTTGTTTGTTTGTTTTTTATGTAATAATTTTATTCCTTAACGTCTGTAAAACATGATTTTAATGGACTTATTTTACTTACTGCTTCACTCACAATATCCCTTATGTATTATAATACATCTCCAACGAACTGTATTTTTGGGATGAGTCTTGGAATCTGTTAGCAAATATCTATTATAAGTCTTCAGAATATATTTTTCTAGATGTTTATTTTGTTATAAACTGTTTATTTGAAGAAAAAAGTTTATATATAAATTATATTTGAATTGTTCTGTTAAAGTATTAAACTTTTATCTGTTTTCATTCTGTGATATATAGGTACAAGCACTTGATGTGATATATATTTCTTATCATAAGCTAGAGGAACATAAAAACATAATGGCAAGTACAAGTACCTATGTGTAAAGGTGATACATGTACATGTATTGTTGCACAAAATGTAAACACAGCGAATTTTAAGTTTTAATGGATATAATATTTATTTATTTTCAAAATGTTATGATTTTTGAGGTGATCTATCCAGGATTCCTTTAAATTAGAATTGACAATCATACCACTGTTTTCTTTTGATATATATTTTTTTAGTCAAACCTTAATTAAATATATATCACTCCTGTTCAATAATCCAGAATGAAAAAAAATCATTTGAAACTGAACCTTTATGTACATAAAATTTATAAACCTATTCATGTTTTTTAAAAAATATAGTAATTTAGACTTATAAATGAATTTTGAGTAATTAATGTATTTTAAAGCAAAGAAGAATTATTTGAAGAGGTTAAATTTTTTTTTAAAATTAGATTAAAAAAAAAATTATAATTGATTTTGTAATGTTGACTGTATACTTTATATTTTTATTGGTCAGCTATTTGGGTAACCAACGTATATGTACATGTACATGCATTCCTTTATGATTTTTCTGCATTTTTCTCATGTAACAAAGCTGTTTATATCTGGTTAACTTACCTAGATACAGAGCATATGTTGTTTATATATGTATGATATTCACTTTCCTTTTATGGATCTTTTTGAAGCTGGTCTTCACTGATTTTATTTAAGATTAAAGAAAAAAAAATTCTTCTAAAATGTTGTATGTACCTTTATTATGTTTCTCAACAATGAAATAGTACTGTATAAAGGGTTATTTTCGCCCCGTGTTATTTTCGCCCTTTTGCACTGGGTTCAAGGACAACATTATGCTGTGTAATTGTGATCCCTAAGAACCAAATTGTTTGTATACAGTATTTATTGACCTAGAACAAATTGTTTGCCAACAAACAAATGCAAGTGAGATTAAGCTCCACCCATTGTGTGATGTTGTGTAAGCGGTCCAACATCTCATTGACAGATCCAACATAAATTCAAGTTCAATGAAATGAAGAGCCACACCCTCTTCCAAAGGGAGATAATATAAAGATTTGACAAAATATGACATTTTAAAGGGGCTCCTCAAGAACCCACTGGGCTAGAAAAGCTGAAACTCATCATAAAGAGAAATATAGGGGAAAAAATTAAATCAATCAACAAATAGATTTTCTCTGAAGAAAGTACTGTATGGGCCTCAGGTTTTTAGCTGTGCCTGCAGCTAGACTCTGAGCTTTGGTTTGTTCTTTTTCATAAATCCTGGGTCATGATCTCCATTCAGAAGTCAGACAGTATTCAATAATGCTTACCAAGGATAGTCTAAATTACAAAACTTGCAATAATTTTATCATAGTATAATGATCATAAATATAGATACTTTTCAAAATAAAAAATGAATGAAATTGAAGATTAATCAATAAGCTCAAATGTTTACTGGAAAATATAAAGTGCGAACAGAGCAATTTAACACCTCAATTAAAACGTCTAAAGATATTACAAATTGGATCAGGTGCATTGAATGTGTAAGCATTCCCTTGTAGAATGGTCACGGCTCTGTGCTCCTCATTACTGGGCAAATAGAAAGGTTAAGATTTCTGCAGGCATTTGTTGTGAAAATGTAAAAACATCAGTCATGCAAACCATAAAATTTGTGAATTGCACACTGAATTCAACTGGGAGACAATTGAACTTAGCATGCATGTGATAGTGGAATATAACATATACTGGTACATCTAAGATAAGAGTAGCTAGAGGATAACACATTTGGTAAGTACCCTAAAGTTTTTAAGGGGACACCCCTGCAAAAATTTCTACAAGAAAAGAATTCTTTAGCCATGGCCTTCAAATCAACATGAAGTTAAGATACATTAATAACATTTTATCAAATTTAAAAATAATATTGTCTGGTTTGTTACAATGCACTTTGAAAAATTACGCACTTTGAAAAATTTTTTCAAAGTGCGTTAATATTTTGAAAAAATTAAATTTTGTTTCAAAGTGCGTTGATATCGACCATATTAACGCACTTTGAAAAAAAAATTGTAAAGATTGATCAATATTCTTACAAATAATCGGTATGATAAAAAATAGATCCTGGTTGGATAACTTTTTTTTATGATAAATTCACTTCAGGACGTGAGATATTGACATTTTAAATATTTAAGGTTTTGATAAGATAAAAGGGAAAGGGGTCTTGAAAAAAAAAGTGACGATTGTTTAAGATCATTAATTCGTTTCTTTTTATAAATAAAATCTAGTCTTTGAAAAGTATAGATGTAAAGGTGTAAAGTGGGCACTAACAGTGGACATGCAGCTTTAAGCAACTTAGCATTTATCATAATAAAAAGGGGAAATTTGATTGTTCAAAACTATGAAAATTCTTTCTCTCTTACTTTACTTAAAAATTTCTAGTTTTCATCTGTTTTAATGAATTCATTTAATATTGAAAGTTTTCAACGTCATACCAGTTAGGTAAATACATAATTATATAAATGTTTTGAGTATAGCATAGACATCGAGACCGGGCGAAGGGCCAGGGGAGGGGAGCTAAGCCCCCCCCCCCCCACTTATTTTGGAAAGATATTTACATCGTAATAGCATTGAAAATGCAGCTTACCCTTTTTGGGTAATTTGCTCCCTTCCCCCGTTTGTTATCGACACCTATGTATTGGAAATATAAAGATTTGGACTGAGGGGTCTTATACCCGTCTTCTCTTTTCATAAGTTTTTTGAAAGATAAATAACAAATTAAAACTTTTCCATTACTAATATATGATTTAATTTTTTTTTTCAAAGTGCGTTAAGTGTCTCCATGGTAAAATTTATTGATGTAGACTCTTAACGCACTTTGAAAATTTTTTCAAAGTGCGTTGAGTTGGTCCCAAATTTAATGCACTTTGAAAAATTTTTTCAAAGTGCGTTGATTTTGTCCCAATTTTAACGCACTTTGAAAAAATTTTTCAAAGTGCGTTGCCACACTGGTTTCCACTCGGCTTTAGGGTACAGACCATTTTTTTTATCATCAACTATTATGATTTGATACTGAAAAGGGGGGGGGGGGACTGGTAGATTTAAAAGAAAATAAAATGTCCTCATAAATGTTGGAAATAATCTGTTAGTACTCAGCTGGCAAGAAAATAAATCATTTGTCCTTAATAAGTGCTACCCCCACCCCATTCTTCTTTTATATTTTTTTCATTTAATGAAGTAAGTCATTAAATGGGAAACCATGTACTTTTATTTCACATAATTATTTTAGTGATGTTCAAACAACAGAAAAGCTTGCAGCACAATTTTTTCTCATGCATACAACAAATGGAAGCTATAAATGGCATACACTTACACTGTGACAGAACATGCAAATCAACTTCAAAAAACTGTGTTCCTTTAAACAATATCAGTAATAGATATATATACTATATCAAAAATACATCTCCAACTCAGAATTTTCGAACCTTTTATAATAATTCACATTTTCACTTCCATCCTTCTAATCTTGGAGGATATTTTCATGTACTTTATACCAATTGTTCCCACATTTCTTAAATATTAAAATGGAATAATTTAACATATCACAGGTGGTCTTTTAAAAACACTTGATATAAAACAAATTAAGATAAATTGACTATTTATATGTCTATACTTGGTGGTTCAAACAGGAAAAAATTAAAATAAGCAACATGAACTTAAAGTAGAATAAAAGAAAGACTAGAGGATACAGAAATTTAAGAATATATAACTAAACTTTATCACATTTACAGTACATTCAATCTTTATACACACATGTATGCATTTTCAAGCATAAAATTCTCATGAGGTATAATTTTTTTTTGTGAAAACTTGGATTCGTACAAGTTTTTGATATTGAACATTGTGGAAAGAAATACATGTATTAGGAACACAAGTTCTAAGAGACAATGAAACTGTAAGAGTAACTTAAAACTTGAAAAATGACAGTATTCTTTATATCAGCAATTTTTGATTATCAGTTAAACATTTTGTTAATGCATGTATATATGTTCAGTATGTTAAAATAAAACTGGCAAGTTAATTTATATTAAAAAAAAATATAATACTTAAAACTCATTTTGACTGAAATGCATCTTCAAAATCATTTCTTATAGAGTACCTACAATTAATGATCTGGCAATTCAAACTTCAGAACATTTTTCATTTAAATTTTGAAATGAAAAAGGAGCCTGGGGGAAAAATAAACAAAAAATTCAATTCAAACTATATAAAAAATATGCATCATTGCATAATTGTATATGTTTTCATATAAATCTTAACATTCATCCCATTCATGGGGCAAAAAAAATGTGTACAAATTTCTTCGTCTTCCATGCACCAATGGAAAATCTTCATCATAAAACCTATATAACTTTAGTATTATGTCTCTGTGAGCTGAAAGACTTCTGGTTTGTAACTGGCCTGGCTCTGTGTCTGATCTCTTTCTTTATCTTGCTTGGCTTCTTCTTCGAGTTGTCTTTCCTTGTCGTACTTACTCTCGTCATGAATCATTGTTCTTCTCAATGGGTCCCTATACGGGTGCATGTGAAATACAAAAGTTTCCCAGTTTACATTTTCTAGTCCAATTTGTTTAAGTTCTGACATCTTACGCTCTATATATGAAACCGGATCTTCTGGCCTCTCCAACATTAGACAGCTCAACAAACTCTCAAACATCTGAGGTATTCTGTGGGTGGCAAGGTATTGTTTTGCTTGCTCCCTTGTTCCAGCCATTTTCATTTGTACAATTTATCACCTGTAAATTTGAGGGAAAACAATGAGAAAAAATAAAATAATCTTCTTTTCTTTATATATTGAGACATTTCAATTATTCATTTCAATGATGCAATTATAACACGAAGGGAGAAATGTATGGCAATCAAACAAAACATAATTTTTTTACTTTCAAGCAAACAAAGGATTTGTAAAACAAAGGAAACTGAGGAAATTCGGTTCAAAAATAGATTGTTTGATTTGTGTGCTTACGACATACAGGGTAAAATAATCGTTAAATACTCATAAAACATTACAACTGAGTGAAAAACAAAAGGGATTAACTTACCCAAAATTTTTAACCTTTACGAATAAAAACGGGAAATGGTCATTGTTCTTTTTCCTGACGCCACGGTTACTATGGAGTGAAGGACCCCGATCCCGATATCAATTCCCATAAAACTTGCGATTGATCTTACGGAGTAAACTTTTTTTTAATGATTTTTTAAATAGAATGCCTAAAAGTTTTCTTCAGAATGTATTTATTCAAAGGGGATTTCTCATGGAATTGAATGATTATTTATTAAAAAGACTAGCCCCTGTGAAAAAAAGAAAATGTATCAAAAACACACTTATAATTATCTG